GAATTTCTGATAGGCAAAGTTTTTAGTGTAAATATAACCCAAATGTTGCATATATTAAACAATTACTCATTGTTTATTTGGTATTCATATTAGCCAGGTGTCCTGTATTTTATCTGACAACCCTAATCAAGTATCATTGAGAAGCTTAGTCTGTTTGGTCCTGCCTGTCCTTGGAATGATACATAGTTATTGTTTATATGTTTTTAGAGTACTAAAATATTACCTTTAAGATCTGTTATGATAGAGAGTCCAACGCTGGTTCTCTGCCCTGTTGTTCCCAGATCGCTGTTTCCTCTCTTCCTTCATGGCCATCTTTTTCCCTAATACTTCTTATACCTATTGCTGCTTTTGCTGTCTGCCACCTTTTTCCTATACTGTGTTCATGCCTCTTCTGTACCAGTTTGTTCTTCCAATGACAGCTAAGTGTATGTTTTAAAGCATGGGCTTTAAAAGAAGATAAATTAGGATTCGAATCCCAGCTTCCTTTTCAGTAGATATGGGAATTTCAGTAAGTAGTTTAATGTGAGTAAGCCTCAGTTTCTCCTTTTATAATATATAGGTCTTAATGACTACTTAATAGGGCTCTACTGCAGGTTAAATGAGATGATATAGGCAAACTTCTCAAAAGTACAGTTCTTACTAGATTGTTATTATTAAAAGAGCTTCAGGCTCTGAGTGCTGACTTGACTTCTTTGAGTGTGTTGAATGTGTTTGAATGCATTGACTTGCATTTCAGGCTCTGCTGACATTCTTCCCTGGTAAGTTTTTGTGCTATCTGGCTTGCCTCTGGCATTACCAACCAGGTCAGTTCAGTTCAGGAAACATGTGTTGAGTTCTATTATGTGCTAAACACTGTGCTGGATGCTGAAAATCCAAAGATAAATAGGGTAGCACTGACCTCAAGGGAAGTGTTGGACAGGAAAGATATATATGTTAAAAAAAAGATCAAAATGCAATGAAGCAAAATGGGTATAGAAGGCAAGTACCTCAACATAATAAAAGCCATATATGACAAACCCACAGCCAACATCATACTAAACAGCAAGAAGATGAAAGCTTTTCACTTAAGATCGGGAATAAGACAGGGATGCCCACTCTCTCCACTGTTATTCAACATAGTACTGAAGGTCCTAGCCACAGCAACCAGACAAAACAAAGAAATAAAAGGCATCCAGATTGGAAAAGAAGAAGTCAAACTGTCCCTGTTTGCAGATGACATGATATTGTACAGGAAAAACCATAAAGAATCCACCCCAAAACTACTAGAACTAATAACTGAATTCAGCAAAGTTGCAGGATGCCAAATCAGTACACAGAAATCTGTTGCATTCCTATACACTAGCAGAAAGAGAAATCAGGAAAACAATTCCATTCACAATTGCATCAAAAAGAATAAAATATCTAGGAATAAACCTAACCAAGGAAGTGAAAGACCTATACCCTGAAAACTATAAGACACTCTTAAGAGAAATTAAAGAGAACACTAATAAATGGAAATTCATCCCATGCTCTTGGCTAGGAAGAATTAATATCGTCAAAATGGCCATCCTGCCTAAAGCAATCTACAGATTCAATGCAATTTCTATCAAAATACCAACAGCATTCTTCAATGAACTGGAACAAATAGTGTTAAAATTCATATAGAACCACAAAAGACCCTGAATAGCCAAAGCAATCCTGAGAAGGAACAATCCTGAGAAGGAAGAATAAAGCAGGCAGGGGGGATCTCACTTCCCAACTTCAAGCTCTACTACAAAGCCACAGTAATCAAGACAATTTGGTACTGGCACAAGAACAGGCCCACAGACCAGTGGAACAGAATAGAGAGTCCAGATATTAACCCAAAATATATGGTCAATTCATATACGATAAAGGAGCCATGGATATAGAATGGGGAAATGACAACCTCTTCAACAGCTGGTGTTGGCAAAACTGGACAGCTACATATAAGAGAATGAAACTGGATTATTGTCTAACCCCATACACAAAAGTAAACTCAAAATGGATCAAAGACCTGAATGTAAGTCATAAAACCATAAAACTCTTAGAAAAAAACATAGGTAAAAATCTCTTGGACATAAACACGAGCAACTTCTTCATGAACATATCTCCCCGGGCAAGAGAAACAAAAGCAAAAATGAACAAATGGGACTATATCAAGCTGTACAGCAAAGGACACCATCAATAGAACAAAAAGACATCCTACAGTGTGGGAGAATATATTCATAAATGACAGATCCGATAAAGGGCTGACATCCAAAATATATAAAGAGCTCATGCACCTCAACAAACAAAAAGTAAATAATTCAATTAAAAAATGGGCAAAGGATCTGAACAGACATATCTCCAAAGAAGAAATTCAGATGGCCAACAGGCACATGAAAAGTTGCTTCACATCACTAATCATCAGGGAAATGCAAATTAAAACCACAATGAGATAGCACCTCACACCAGTAAGGATGGCCACCATCCAAAAGACAAACAACAACAAATGTTGGGGAGGATGTGGAGAAAGGGGAACCCTCCTACACTGCTGGTGGGAATGTAAATTAGTTCAACCATTGTGGAGGGCAGTATGGAGGGTCCTCAAAAATCTCAAAATAGACATACCATTTGACCCAGGAATTCCACTTCTAGGAATTTACCCTAAGAATGCAGCAGCCCAGTCTGAAAAAGACGTATGCACCCCTATGTTTATTGCATCACTGTTTACAATAGCCAAGAAATGGAAGCAACCTATTTTTCCATCAGTAGATGAATTGATAAAGATGCGGTACATATACACAATGGAATATTATTCAGCCATAAGAAGAAAACAAATCCTACCATTTGCAGCAACATGGATGGAGCTAGAGAGTATTATGCTCAGTGAAATAAGCCAGGTGGAAAAAGACAGGTGTCAAATGATTTCACTCATCTGTGGAGTATAAGATCAAAGAAAAAAATGGAAGGAACAAAACAGCAGCAGACTTAACAGAACCCAAGAATGGACTAACAGTTACCAAAGGGAAATGGACTGGGGAGGATGGGTGGGAAGGGAGGGACAAGGCAGGGAAAGGGGCATTACGATTAGCAAAAGACACCATCAATAAAACAAAAAGACATCCTACAGTATGGGAGAATATATTCATAAATGACAGATCCGATGGGGTATGTGGTGGGGACTTGATAATGGGGGTAGTCTAGTAAACATAATGTTCTTCATGTAATTATAGATTAATGATACCAAAATAAAAATTTTTTAATGCTATGAAGTAAGTAAAATCATCTAGGTATGCGTAGGATGTGTCAATATCCATGGTACTATAAGAAGGAGTTCAGATCTCTGGGAGAAAGGAGGCAAGATAAGGCTTCAAGTGTGTGATAGTGTCTGAGCAGATAATTACAAGATGAGTGGGACTAGCTATAAAAAGTATGTGGGAGGAGTCCTCAAGTCTGTACATCAGATAGGACTGGGCAGCTGGAAAGTGAGGACACTGAAGTCTAACCAGGAAATGCATAGACATCCATAGGATTAAGCACAGTCAGTAGGGTCAGTCAGAGCTTGAATAATATAAAACAATTCATTTCAAAGTGTGGTTGTTATTACACTTAAGGTCTTAATCAAATATGCAGGTCCTTCCTGTGGTGCTTAATGGCAAATAATGTGAATCTTATATTCAACAGCATATTTCCTATGATTTCCTAAGTATCTTGTCTGTTGAATACATTCTAAGTGAATAGCATGAGGAATAGGAAAATTTACTCCAGATGTTATATACAGGGAAACTCAAAGTAGCTCAGAATTATTAGAGTATAAATTATAAAGCTAGTAAAGGTGAATGAAAATGTTATTTTCTTTCAGTCATCAGTTTTGGGGCTCATATCTTTACATTAGCTGTTGGTCTCATATATTTTTGGTTCTCTATTTCCATTGTTGCTTTTGTTTGTATAGAGTTTTAGTCATTTTCAATTTCATGCCTGTCCAAGATACCAAAACACATTTTACTGTTTCATAATTTTAACTGTTTCCATTTCTCATTTTTCTGATTTCAAGGTTTCTGAACTGAAGTTCTTTTTCTCTAAAAAAATGTATTCATGTCTTAAGGTATATTTCCTGCTGGAAATATTTAAATCTTGTTAAAATATTTAAATCTTTCTTTCCCCTTACAACCACACATATTTACTGAGTACCAACTATCTTTTGAATGAACATATATATATATATATGTATACACACACACACACACACACACACACAAGTATATATAAGAAAATCTTAGAACAGTGCCTAGCTATTGTCAGGTACCAGTCACATTTTGTTCCAAAATATTTGGACAAACATCGAGGTCTAATATATATTCTACCATGCAGGAATTTTCTCAAGATCATATTATGGAAAATTTTAAATCCAGTTTTTCTACTCTAACACAGTTATCTGATTTTATTTCCCTGTTTTCTCTTTCTTTGTATGTCTCTCCTAGAGGTAGTTTTAATCATCCAATATAGAGACGTAGGTTTAATTTTTAATAGTATTAGGTTAAGAGGAAAGGGATAATCTTGCTCTATTTGATGATCAAACTGGAGCTAGAATACTAATTTCAGCTTATCCATCATCAAAATTGGCTGCAGTGGTTGGAGGGTTTCCAACAAAGATATTAGCCTTTAAAAGGTAATGCTGTGTAGGGGATCCGTGAAGCCAGAAGGGGGTTAGTCCCTTATAAGTCGATTCATTCGCCCTATTTGCTCTTTTTTTCCTCTCCTGGTTAATGGCAGTAGGCCCATTGGTTGCGCCTCTTTAGGCTCTGCTCCACCTCAGGTCTCAGCTAAGGTGGCAGAAACGGTCATTCCAACTGAATGAGCCTTCCAGACTACTGCGTGCGGCCTGAACCAGAGCTAATCTCGCCTATTTTCAGTGTCAGTGACAAGTCATTTCTAGAAGCGGGTTTGTTTGCTTCCTGGATCGGCCTCTCCACTTCCAATCAGGGTCCTTTGCCCCAGTGGACTTTGTCTCTCCTTTTTCATCTGGATACACTCCGCAATCGGACAGCCTCGCAGAGGCCAGCGGCGGGAATCATTCTGCCTGCCTCGTCCCCTCAGGACACATCTAGCAGGAGGCAGTGCCCCGGGCCTTGGCACGACAGTGAAACAGGCACCGAGGACTGCCCGCGGAGCAGCCAGGGGTCCCGCCTTCAAAATCAAACTGGCAACTGCCAAGCTGGAGCCGTCAAAGCCGAGCCTGGAACGGCGTTTGCCCGGACCAAGGCGGAAGCCGGAGCATTTGGGAGACGGGACCGCGGGATCCCGGAAACGGCCGGGCCGCAGCAGGCTGGCTGCTGCAAAGGCGGCAGGAGCGGTCGGCGCTGCGCGTCAGGGCTCGCGGGGGACCCGGCTGGCTCCGGAGCCTGGGGCTCCCAGTGGAGCTGAGCCGCGGCCCCGAGCCGGCCGAGCTGCACGGGAGGTGAGCACGTCACGCTCCTGGGGAGCGGTGGGGGCTGGAGGCCGGCGGCTGCAGCGCCCGGCCAGGGCGCGAGAGGCTGCTGGCGTGGCCCGAGCGGGAGGTGTGCGGGCGTGAGGTCCGTCTTAGTGAGGGGAACGGTGTCGGAGACCTTAAGTACGAGCGAAGTAGGGGTGGGAGCGGTTTGAAGTGACACGTTGAACTCCGAGGGACGACGTGTGGAGTGTGCTGGGTGGAGGAGGAAGGGCCCGCGGAAAGGGGTGTGTGCCTCAGAGCCTGGGGCGTGCGGATCGAGGGGGCGGGTGGGGGCGGGTGGGGGCGGGTGGGGGCGGGTGGGCCCGCGCCCTGCTGGCGGTCATTCCTTCAGTGAGAGTCCGCCGAGGTCCCGCTCCGTGTGTCACCCAGTGTTCGCGCCGATCCGCCAGACCAGGACCCTGCACTCGAGAAGCCGCAGGGACCTCACGAAATGCAAAGTCTCTCCTTGGTAAGGCTAATACGTAAGCAAGTGCGTGTTCCTTTCAGAACAGGTGTGTATGTTGGGTGTGTATGTTAACATTTATTTAAACCAACGAAACACTTCCCAGGAACGCTGGCTCAAATGAATTAAAGAATAATATTAAATATAGTAATGAACCTTGCTTAGTAAACTATATTTAATTACGTTAGAGGACTGGATCTTTTGCTATGATCAATTGCATGCAGTATTTGAAAATGGAACCAGAGTGTTTTTTTTCAATCGACATTCAACTTTGATAGTTGAATGAAATTTGATACCGTTTTCCGCTTGGTTCACTTGCTTACTCGTTCGCACCTGTAAACTCAGGTTTTTCCCTTTAAGGTAATGACTACTAAGTTTACATTTCTGGTTCTCACTTACCCCCCCAGATATTGATTCTACTTCTTCAGCATCTGAATTTACTTCTTACCTTTTTCATTTTCACTACTTTGAGCTTAAATGTGGCTCTTCTTTCCTCTTCTTACTTACATTATATTAGTGGCTTCCAAACTGGACTTGCTGCCCTCAACCTGTCACCATTCCAGTCACAGCTTCCATACTGTTTTTTAGAGCTAGAGTTCTTATGTATTATTTGGTTACTCTTTCCTCAGAAATATTCAGTGACTCTGTTGGCTCCAGAATAAATTTGAAATGATTTAGGGTGACATTCAAAGTTCTTCACAATTTGGAGCTGTCCCTTGCTTCAATCAGACCAATATGTCCCTTTCATTAAAAAAAATGACTTTATTCACATATCCTGTCTTTTTAGCTAAATCATAGTAATTACTTTGAAATATAATTTGTGAGTATGCTTTATGCATACCTGCCTTATTTTTTTAACCCAAGTATTGTTGATACACAGTCTTATGTTGGGTTCAAATATACAACACAGTCATTCAACAGTTATCCACATTATTAAATCCTCACCCTCTCTAGTGCAGTTACTATCTATCAACATAGAAAGATGTTACAGAGTCATTGACAATATTCTCGATGCTGTACTATGTCCCTGTTATCAACTTATACTGTAATTGGGAATTATTGTGCCTCTTTATCCCCTTCACCCTTCCCCTCACACACCCCAACCTCTCACCCTTGGTAACCACTAGTAACTTCTCCATGTCTATGAGTCTACTGCTATTTTGTTCCTTCTGTTTTGCTTTGTTTTTGTATTCCACAAATAAGTGAAATCATATGGTATTTGTCTTTTCCCACCTGGCTTATTTCACTGAGCATACCTGTCTTGGTTTATGCTTACATCCTTTCTTCCTACAAGGAAGGCCTTCCTTACCATTTTTTGTAGAAAGTCTACTTAGTCTTTAACACCTTAAATACCACCCTCTTTTAAAAAAAGTTTTTTACTTGAGGTATGATTGACATATAACATTGTATTAGTTTCAGATGTACAATATAGTGATTTGGTATTTGTATATATTGCAAAATGATCTCAGTAAGTTGTTAAACACACCCATTGCCACACAGTTACAATTATTTTTTTATGCAATGAGAACTTTTAAGATCTGCTTTCTTAGCAACTTAGAAATATACATAACAATATTTTTAAACATAGTTACCATACTGTTCAGTATTTTTAGGACTTACTTATTTTATAACTGGAAATTGCCACTTCCTTCTTTGAAAAAGCTTTCTGAAGCCTGCCATTATATTGAACATTATTTTTTCTTGTGTGCTAGGCTTTATAATTTTATAATACTTGCTAAATTATATTTTACTATAGTTATTTGAGAAATTTTTCTGTACTACCTCAGAGATTTATTGCTAGGATCAAATGAAGTACTATAACATGGAACAGAAAAGCACTTTCAAGTGTAAAATTGTTGAGAAAAATCTGAAATAAGATTACACTACTACGTAAGTTATCCTTATCTCCAGGATCACTAGAGATTTCTCTGAAGTTTACATCAAGTTGTCCAACTTCAACTTGAAGGGCTTTGGGAAAAAGGCAGTTTTTGTTTTTAGTGATTCCAAATCAGAAGGGTAGGAGAAAATTGGAGATGCTAGTTTGTAGAGCCATAGCCAGATATTGGAAAAAACTAGAAGAATTCAGGATCCAGTCCAGTTTACAGGTATATAACAAAACTTCAAAGTCAATGAAAAGCACCAGAATCTGATATCCACCAAAGTATGCTACTGACATGTAATTTTTCTCTCTGCAGTCATCTCCATTTTTACCAGAGATAATCACAGTAAGACTAATTTGTCTAGTCTCATTAAACTTGACCTGATTATTAATATAATTGCAGCAAGAATAGCAGCTGACCATATAGGCTCTTCTTAAGTCTGGAATTTTTTGCTGGAATTATTCAGAAGGAATTTCTGATTGGACTTTTAAAAAGTTCTCAAGGCTGGGAAGCTTCTCAACGACTTGCCATGAGATTTCTTCTGCAATAACTACAGATTTGAGTGATTCCTCTCTTCTCCTCTTTTTGAGTTCCCCAAGAAATCCTGAGGTTCTTGGGTCTGCCAGGAAATGACCTTCCTTGCTCACCTGTTAAGACTGGGAACCCTGAAAGCAAAATAGTAGGTAGTTTTTTTGAAGGGGCTTTGTTGGCTCTATAAAATTACCTTTCGTTCCTGAAAGCTGACTAGTAACATCCTTTGCAAATGTGGCATTCCAGTGAAAGCTTTGGCAATATAGCCAATGTGTCCAGTCATGTCCTTTTACAAGGAGAACAGATTCCCTTTAAACTTATGCAAATAACTATTAACATTGAAGTAAGAATACTCACTAAGAGTTTCTGAATTCTGAAAGGATGAGGTCAGAAAAAAAATGTTTCAATTGTGTTTACACATGTATACTTTGCCAAATTGCCGTAAGTTACAGAAAGCTTAAGAGAAAAGGTTTCCTTAAATATGTTAAGCAAAATGTTTAAGAACCAGTAATGTTTCAAACAAAACCTTACATAAGAATTATAATCACTCTCATCAGTTTATTTAGCCTCATGAAAATAATTCTTGTTTTGTTTGATCATGAATTAGTAGTTTTATGAATACATCAGTTTTTTCCATGGAGGTCTGCAAATTTTTCCAGTTCAATGGTATGATCTTAAAGTTATTAGAAACTTGTATTCTAGAATACTTGTAAGACTCCTTGTCATGAACTTTTTTTTTATTACGATATCATTGATATACAATCTTATGCTCAGATTTCACATGAGCAACGTTGTGATTACTACATTCCCCCTATTATCAAGTCCCAAACACATACCCCATAACAGTCACTGTCCATCAGCATAGTAAACTTCTCTGTGCTATACTTCCTTCCCTATACCCCACCTATATTATGTGTGCCAATCATAATGCCCTTAATCTTCTTACCCTACTCTTCCCATCCACCCACCCAGTCCCTTTCCCTTTGGTAACTGTTAGCCCATTCTTGGGTTCTGTGAGTCTGCTGCTGTTCTGTTCCTTCAGTTTTTGCTTTGTTGTTAAATTCCACAGATGAGTGAAATCATTTGGTACTTGTTTTTCTCTCCCTGGCTTATTTCACTGAGCATAAAACCCTCTAGCTCCATCCATGTTGTTGCAAATGGTAGGATTTGTTTTCTTCTTATGGCTGAATAATATTCCATTGTGTATATGTACCACATTTACTTTATCCATTCATCTACTGATGGACACTTAGGTTGCTTCCATTTCTTGGCTATTGTTAATAGTGCTGCGATAAACATAGGGGTGCGTATGCCTTTTTGAATCTGAGAAGTTGTATTTTTAGGGTAAATTCCTAGGAATGGAATTCCTGGGTCAAATGGTATTTCTATTTTGAGCTTTTTGAGGAACTTCCATACTGCTTTCCACAATGGTTGAACTAATTTACATTTCCACCAGCAGTGTAGTAGGGTTCCCCTTTCTCCACAACCTCGCCAACATTTGTTGTTATTTGCTTTTTGTATGGTGGTGATCCTTACTGGTGTGAGTTGATATCTCATTGTGGTTTTAATTTGCATTTCTCTGATAACTAGCAATGTAGAACGCCTTTTCACATGCCTGTTGGCCATCTGAATTTCTTCTTTAGAGAAATGTCTGTTCATATCCTCTGCCCATTTTTTAATCAGGTTATTTGCTTTTTGAATGTTGAGGCATGTGAGCTCTTTATATATTTTGGATGTCCATCCCTTTTCGGATATGTCATTTATAAATATATTCTCCCATACTGTAAGATGCCTTTTTGTTCTGCTGATGGTGTCCTTTGCTGTACAGAACTTTTAGTTTGATATAGTCCCACTTGTACATTTATGCTTTTGTTTCCCTTACCTGAGGAGATATGTTCATGAAAAGTTTGCTCATGTTTATATTCAAGAGATTTTTGCCTATGTTTTCTTCTAAGAATTTTATGGTTTCCTGAATTACATTCAGGTCTTTGGTCTTTTTTGAGTTTACTTTTGTATATGGAGTTAGACAGTAATCCAGTTTCATTTATATCTGGGCTCTCTATTTTGTTCCATTGATCTATGAGTCTGTTCTTGTGCCAGTACCAAATTGTCTT